TATGTTATGTTATTGTTATGTTATGCTATGTTATCGTTGAAGTTCAATGCAGTTTAACTTATAAATTATCAGCAAACAGTAATTTAAATAACCATTTGAACCCCTCAGTTGAAAACTGAGAATTTGTTCTATAGCTGTCTTTCATCAAGATACCATCATACCACTATGGGTCATCATGCAGAAAGGAAATAAGTCGTACAAAAATCTTAGCATACCTTATGCGATTCAAGGATGCAATTGTCCTGAGGGCACTCCTGATCATATCTTCATTACGATCTACTTCTTGTTTGACAGCATCTTGTTTAGTCCTAAAGTTGATAGTTTTCTGGAGAGGATCCACCAAAGAATCCAACACTGGATGTGCAATAATTAGGTAAGAACAGGTTCCAGTTTAATTAAAAATAACATGTTTCCAAATATGAGATTTAACTGCATTCTGAAACTAAAGGAAAAATTACCTGCTAATACGGCCGAAGGACACTTATCAGCCAACTTTGAAAGGATAAGATGGCAAGGCATTTTCACATCATAATGATCTGAGGAGCGAAAAAGTATTATCAACGCGGAATGCAACAAAGCTAATTTTGATGGGAAGTCAACACAGTTCAACATTTCTCTTTATTAATATTATCATAAGAGAGGAAATGTAACAACAGCACCTATCGTGTTCCGTAAAGAAGGGAAAATTTTCGAGGCATTCCTGGGGAGCAACTCACCATCTAAACCAGATAAAAGGTATGGAACAATAAAAGATGACGGATTCACTTGATCAAGACAACTATCCAACAAAGTATCCACACATTCAAAAGCAGCCTTCCTTAATTCAAGCCCATCATCTACTGTGTGTTTGAAAGGACCTAGATCCACTGTCCTTATCAATTCTTTCTGCAGAAAGAGGGAAAAAAGAGCACAATGACAAATGAAAACCCCATTGTTCATAATAAGAAGGCAAAAATGCTATTCTAAGAGAGAGATTAAGATCTATCTTACCCCTTGTTTGAGCCCCATTTTAAAGGAAAGAGATGGAGAATGTGTGGTTAAAAATTAAGGAAAAGTTTTGGGTTTGTGTGTAATATTATTTTATTAAAAAAGATGTGGTTGAAAATGAGTTTTGAAAAGATGGGGC